AAAAAAAAAAAAAAAAAAAAAAAAATGATGGTTATAATGATGATTATGATATTGTTGTTAGTGTTGCTGTTGACGTTGATGATGATGATGATGATGGTAATGATGACAGAAGAAAAAGAAACAAGTTGCTGATGGTGTTGGCGTTTTCGCTGTTGCTGTGTTAAGTTAAAACACTGTTTATTTTTGCTCCATTGCAGTTGATTTAAATGACAGTTTTAGGATATTGAAAGGATGAAGTCGTCAGCTGCAGTTATTGCCCAGTCGTTGACTGAGTTTGGTCGATGTCTCAAGGAAACTGAATTACCAAATGACGCCGAAAGTACATCACGTATTCTAGAAGCGCAAACTGCCGAACGAGACGCAATTAAAGTAATTTTGTTTCATTTTCTTGCTTCACACAAAGATGTTGACTGGGAGGGAAAAATGGATGGATCAAAAGGAAGAAAGAAATGAATAACCTGTGAATTAAAATCCAGGGTAAACCTGTGCCAGGCTAGGCTGCTGAAGGCTTATCTGAAGCTCAAGTAGGGAAGCACGGCAAGACAATTCGGGATAGTCACCTGACACTAACTTAAATTGGTCATTCGATCATTTTTTGCTAATATTTATTGGTTCTCTGAACTATATGTCAGCTTTAGTTTCTCCAAGATGTATAAAATTGCTGACTTCTTTCAAAGCTGAAGTTTTTAAGTGTTTTGTTTTTCTGCTTTTTTTTTTTCCAGTTTTTTAACGTGACTTACAGTCTAAAAAATTTGACAACAAAATGCATTTGCAACTCTGCAATATTTTTACTGTCTTTTCTGAACTTTTTTTTTTATATTACCAACCTTCATAACTACTATTAGAATCATTACTGTTTTTGTTATTTCTTTTTAAGTTTTTTTTTTTTGAAAAAGAGGTAACTGTAGAAAATAAGCATTAGTCAAGGTGGTAGTTTTTTAAGTGCTTCTAGTCTACATTTGCTACATTCCTTTCCTCTGCTATTGTTTTCTTCATTTGTTCTGAAGTTTACCGAGCACATAATTTCTCGTGAACAGTGTCAAATAATTTTTTAAATAGCAACAGTGTAATTTTTCTTACTTCTTGAAAAATAATATTGTTTTAGTTTTTCATTTAAGAAAAAACTTTCTTTCCTGGTGCGGGGGAGGTGGAGGAAGGGATAAAGGATAGGAGAGAAAGTTTTAATTGATTGTTCGCATTCTTGTTTGGTACTACCAATGTACCGAATCATTGTCTATCAGTTTCCTCGATAAAATTTCACACCCGCCAACATCAGCCGGCTCTACTTTCAGTTTTTTCAAATTCCTTTTACCACTTTATGTGCCATGACTTTTCAGC